GGGGAAGAAACGAAACGTTGCCCAAAAAAATCTCTTGGGCTTGCAGAATACTGGTTGGATGCCTTTATATAGACTGCAAGCAGTTATGACTGACATAAGACATGATATTTTATTGTTGTTTGCTATGCTCATTCTCTCTTGTTTTACATCGCTTGCTTTCGAGTGGTTGTCTAATGACAATGTTAATTTTTCCTTGTAGCAGGAATGAATGGTCTGTTCAGGGCATCGGAGAAGGTGTTACAAACCCATCTATTGTCAAATCTCCTTTTGGTGGCTTATACTCTCCCCCTAATGTACATTCACTTTGGTCATTTGAATGAAAGGTAGAAAAAGCAAAAAGAACATAAAGGAATAGAAAGAAAAAAAAAATGAGAGGAAAACTTATGAGGGTACTTTTTATTATACATGTTCTTGACGAGGCTGCCAGCCTCTTTTTGAGGGCGCTTCAGATACACTGTAAGCATTGTATCATCCTTCTCCTAAGGGTGACCTATGTTTACTTACATTAGCAATGGGTTAGGAATACAAAAAGGGCATGCATGCTTTTAGTGCATCCGCGGAAAAAAAAAAAATGTTGGTAAGATCACTACTTTTGGCCCCTTCCCATGTTCAATGGTTTATACTCCATGTCTATGAGCAGGGAAGTTCCTATCTGTTCTTTTATCTTGTTGTCAATTTTGGCTCTCGCTTCATTTTATTTTGAGATAGTTAGATAGCGGGTTCTTATGCATCAAGGTCCCTGATTTGTAACTAATTTGATATCGGGCCGATGAGTATGCATAGGTCTAGCAATTCGTTCACATATAGCCTCCTCGGTTGGTGCCTATGAGTTGCTAAATGATGCAGTTCCATTCTCATCATATCGATAGCGGTATTGGACAATGATTCCCCACCTTAATTATTAGCTTTTGTTTTAGTTTGTCATGTGGGTATGTTTTAGGCTGATATCTGAAAGACCCAAAGATAACATAAGCTCTTGGAATCATAAATTCCAACGTAAAAGAGCTTGAGTCCCCCCTTTTCTACATTTCTTCTTATTGAGTATTGAGTAAAATCACTTGACATCAATTTAGCAAAGAAATTAGTTTATGACTGACTACCCTTCTTGAAAGAAAACGAAGCTCAGATGCTCACTTGTTTCGATTGGTGTTCGGACTTTAGAGTCAGATTACCTTAAGAGTCGCAGCTTGTTTAATAGTTGTACACCAAGGCTACGAACCGGGAATTAACCATGGTCCTTATAGTCTACTACTAGACTATGCTCAGATATGCTCTTCAACTTGGGATCTTATCAGAGTAATGTCGTATGCTAATCAGGTGGTGGGCAAAGCATAGCTTAGCCCTCGTTAAGGCAGCTATGGGTAGGGGGCTGCTTATCGTGCAATCATTTTACGAGTCCTGGCATCATACTAGATTAGATCATACTAAATTATCTTCTGCTTAATTGTAATTATAATCTGTGAGACGATTCATCTGTCTCGTTTTGGTTTTTCAATGATTTGGGATGTTTAGATAACAGAAGTTAACATGATACGCTACAATATGCAAGCACGTTCATTATTATCGATGATTAATCAAGATCACTATACTTGTAGTCATTACATAAACATATATACGAGTACTACACGAATTAGTGCAACCTTCAGCGTTGTGCATTGCAACATCTAGCGTTAACCAACAATTGCGTGGAAGCACAAATCTTGCAATCTAGCATGGCTTGTCGAGGTTCAGGCATTTATTGAGCATATATGTGTAGATGCACCAGTCCTGCAGTCCAACACTGACGTGCATAGATCTTTGGCGTTGACATTAGAGGTGTTAAAATTAAATCCGATTTGAAAGTGATTCAATACAAATTTTGACTTGCATGAGCACAATGATTTAAGATAATTTAAACCTGAGTTACACTTAATCCGATTATTCACATTGAACCCGACCCTAGTCACCTTACCTTAACATAAAAATCCAATCATTTTGTTACTGGATAATGCTATATGTAGCCCTAAGGGCTAGAAATAAGCATTAAATACACTCTTGAAAATGGAGTATAAAATTAGAAATTTATGGCAAAAACACGCTTAAATTAGTGTGATTAGTATTTATATTTTTATAATTTCTTAACTTTTTACGATTTTTAAGTGTAAATTTAATGCAGTATAGCATTTTCCTTTGTTATTACCCTTGATTATCGGCTACTAAATGAGAACATAAAAAATTTGTCAATCTATCTATATATTATACTAAAAGACAAGCGCCTCAATGTGAGGATGACAAATGTCACTCTCTCATTGGCTTATCTTATGTATAAAATATATCTATATAATTACTGTTTACATATTCAAGCATAGTTTTTTTTTGTTAAACTTCAAACAATAAAAGCAAGTTTCTATACATGCGTAAGATTTTCATGATTTCCTAACATAAATATTGATTTAATTTTTTATATAATAAATATATACTTTCCAATACTACAAATAATCCATAAAGTCTTTCCAATCTTTATTTATAGTAAGTTGAAGAATAATAATTAATTTGAAATAATATGATTAAATTGGCATAATTAAGGAAATAAATATTTCGTATTTTGAAAGGCTAATATTGTTTTTTTTTATGAAAATTAAATAAAATCGATAGAATTTAGTTTGACGTCAATTATGAAATCAATACAAACATTTTAAAAAAAAATCAGATGTACAATAAAATATTGTGCACCTATTATAAAAGCTACCCTGTAATGAATGAAAGTTATTTATGCTTTATTGATAAAAGTTACCTAAAATAGTCTACAAGTTATCCTAAATTCAATTCAAGTAATCAGATGAATACAAAAGTTTTTGATAAAGATACAAAATAGTGTAAAAATTACTTTTATTGTTTGTTGTACTCCTTGACAACTACTGAATGCTGAGTCGAAATGTTGTCTTAGAAAAAAAATACATAATCTTGAACATAAATTTAATTTTAATCGGCCTTTCATTTTCTATACAATGTGTTTTACAATGACCTTTTGTTTTTCTTGCATAAATTTTTTTTTTTTTTTTAAAAAAAGAACCAATAACCAATCTAAACAAGAAGAATAAAAGTTAAATTGAAATAGACATTTGACGGAAAAGGGATAGATATAAATTGTAACTATTACTCGTGTTTTAAATTGTAATAAACAATGCTATTACTTATGAATTTTTTTTAGAAAAACTAACATTATGATTTAAAAATCATGCATTGCTCATGTACTATACTAGATATACAACAATCATGTGCAATAATTTATGTTGTTTTATACATAATAATACTTTTAACTATAATAGTATGTGTATATAATATTTTTTATAATATAAAAAAGTATATGTATATAATATACTGGAAATATTTATAACATGTGTCCTCCATATCAAGTGTAGTCTCAATCACCACTACACCAATTGGTTGTTGGTGTAGTGGTGATTGAGACTACGCTAGGTAGGGAGACCTGTGTTCGCTCCCCTGCAACAACAATCGGAAGGGGAATGAAACCTAATAACCTAGAACCGATTCTCAAATCTGGATTAGCCCAAAGGGTGAACCGGATAAAATACCCAAAACTCAATGCATATATGACAGGAATTAACTTATCCTTTATCTATCGTAAACAAAACTCCAAAGTCTAATTTTTTTTTCAAAATATAATAATAACATTTGTATATTTTTGTCAATATGAAAGATATAAACCTATTAAAATGTATATATAGTTAAATTGTTTAATAACTTATATCGAATGTGTAGTTTTATTAATATTATTTGCATGTAATCATAAATGTGTTGGATGTTGTGTAGCTATATGCAATGCCCAAAACTTTAGTTGAGCGACTTTAATTTAGTGATTGTACGGTAAAAAGATATTGACTTCGATCTTGAAACCTAATAGTCTTATAAATTCTAAATAGAAAAATTAAAACAAAAGGAAATGAAAATAGTAAATGACTTTAAATATTGAAAACATAACCTTTTAAATCAATTTAGCGAATTCAAGAGATAATTTTAAGGCTTTTAAAATTAAATGGCGGAAATTATATGTAAAAAGAACATTTTTAGATATATAAATGTCCATGCACTATTATAAGAGTTTTGTTAAACTTTTTATAATTAAGGTAGGGATAAATCTTAGTAATATATATTTCGTATATTTTATTTATATAAAATTATCAGTATCCATACCTATATACGAAGTATTTGTGTTGTATACTATATTTAATCTGTTGGTTATATATGTGACTATTATATAATATATAGTTTTTGGCACAATGGTTAACTTAGGAAAATATATGTTCTGGTAGGTCAAATATAAGGTTATTATTGTGTCTATAGATTTAATGAGTGCGATGGGTAAATAAAACATGTATATATTAGGTTGATTGTAGCTACTGATGCGGATGGTATGATTAGAAAATTTTAGTTTTTTCTCAACGGGAGATTTAAATAAATTAGTCCACTTCTTATATAGCTATGTGGAGTATTATTCAATTATTTTTCAATTAATAAAATAACATTATAAAAAATAAAAAGAAATTCAAATAACATAAAATACTATTCAAAAAACGTTCCTTTAATTTTTTTTTATTGGCCATTAGTAACCAAGTCCTTCAATAGTAAATGAATTACCTTTGTTTTTATTTTTATTTTTCCTACGGGTTTAATAATTTGATTTGTAAACCGTACATTGCACGGGCACTATACTAGTGTCTAAACTATTCTCGAAGGAAGTTCAACCGACAAGTTTTTGTCTACCTCTTTTATGACTTCCTTTCCCCAAAAATCAAAGTACATACTACATTTATTTTATTTCCTTCCAAAAAAAGAGTCTTAATTAATTGTCAGGAAATTAAAGTAGATCCAATCGAACAGTCAAAACCTTCTTACCATTGTTACTAATAATAATTAATTAATTACCATTACTAAAGTTATAATTAATTAATTACAATGGCTCTTATTTAATCGTACAAATTCTATCAATAGTCTTTTAATAGAGCAATAAAATGAGAAAGCCCGAGTAATGCTAGGAAAACTATAATGAGTTCATTTTACACCAAACATTTACATATCTTTATTTCAATATTAGCCATTTTATCATTAGTTGCTATCATTTTTCAATCAAAAAGTTCAAATTCTTTTTCAAATTTCTTCTATTTTGCACCATCTTCTTGGTTTTGGCCTACAACAAATACAAATTCAACTCAAAATAATATTGTTATCCATCATGGAGTTACTTCCTCATTGTCGTTTGATTCTTTGGTGCATTCTCTTGCCGTTATTCACAATTCTTCCACTCTATCAAAATCCGTAAGTTCATTTTCATGTCATATGTTGTCGATATTTTGTAAATACTTAATTATCTCGAATATATTTAGATTTCTTCAAGTTGAACCTTAATATAATTAATTATATTCTTTGGAAGTATATCATATTTTTATGATATTTTGTAAATACTTGATTATCTCGAATATATTTATGTTTCTTAAAGTTGAATTCTTAAAAGGTTTTCCTTGGAAAAAAAAAGTTGTATCCTTAAAAGTTGCAAAAATAAGATTCTTTGTTCTCCACAATCTTGTATACATGTAGTGCTTCTTGTCTTTTTCTAAAATAAATCACTTTAATTAGTATACTTTCAATTTATAATATAATCTTTTATTAATTTTGTGTATCATATGATTATTCTCTAGGATATAATTTATGTATCAAATGATGATATATTACATTTAAAATTGCCCTTTTCCCCCTTAATTTTAGTTCAATTTTTTATATTTAAAAAATTTATTTTCTTGCATTACTTTAATTGTTAATTTATATTTTACAATGTTGTTTTAGGAGGAGAAAAGGCAAAGAACGATGAAGAAATTGCGTGATGAGATTGATAAAGTATTAATTGGAAGAAAGAAAGATGAAAAGGTAGAAAATATGGAAGAAGATCTTACAAGAGCAAGAATTTTGATTAAACAAGCTTTTGAAAGTAACACTTCCAATATTATTTCTCTTGAAGATGATGATGTACAACCTCATGTCAACATATACAAGAATGCTTTCTCCTTTAAAAGGTACGAGTACTAGTTCAATTTCTTAACATAAGCTCGTTAAACATAAAATTAAATTAAATTGAGTTTATAAAACATATACGATGGAGTACTATTTTTACATTTAGCATAAATTTTTACTAATATGGGGTATTATAAACTTTTCATTCATTCATATAAAATTAAATAAATATGTAGGGGTTGTTTTTCATTTAATTTACTCCTTAGTAATATAAACTTTTATTTCATTCATCTAAAAAAAATTAAACAATTGCTTGAAGATAATTGCTTTTTTATTTGAAAGCGCTTGAAGATAATTGCTTGAAGACAGAATATCTTAATTTCATTTGCATTGAAACTTGGAGTTCGGAATTCAAGAATAATTAATGTTTGTCAATATTGACGATTAGAAATTTATTTAGGCCGACAACACCTGATTTATGCAGCAATTAATGCCATGTGCTGCATTTGACCCTTACTTCTCATAAATCACTTGAACTTGTTCACTTTCCCCACATAGGGCACGTACTACTCCATATCTTAGGGTTAGGGATATACATAAACATTAAATATACTACCTAAAATGGAATTAAGTTGGGAATTTATAATAAAATTACGCGTAAATTGGTGTAATTAATGTTAATTTATTTATCATTTTCCTTTTTTAAAATAAATATTCCCCCCCCCCCAAAAAATAAAAATAAAAAATTGTCATAATATTATTGGAATTCGAAAATCACAAATTCTTATGTATGGGCCACTTGGCCGGCCACTCGCTATACAGTGTGGTCAACCATAATGAGAGTTACTTCGCAAGTGTTATCGGAGTTACTCGGTCATTGTTACAGGAATAAATTCGTTAGTGTTATAGGGTTACTTGATCGCGGTGAGAAATTACTTAATCAGTATCATAAGAATTACTCCGTCGAGGATACAGGATAACTCAGCCGCACACAAAACAAGCGGTTTAAAAATAATATGAAATCCATTCAAAAGATTTATTTGTAAAGAAAAATGGAAAATAAAAGTAAAATACAAGGGAGCCACTTTTACCATTTCGTATATCAGTTTATGGATTTTATGTTGCCACATAATCATCGTTATGATGATCAATTTACAATTTATATGAACTTTTGAGTTGCAATTTGCAAAAAAAAAATTTAAATGACTGCAATTTGCAAAATACAAACTTTAAATGGCTGCAATTTGCAAATTTTTCAAAATTTATTAGCATAGAAATTAGAAAGATCCCGGTTGAATTTTTAGTTGATCACTATGAAAAGACCCGCTGATGAAATTAAAGGCCCGAATCTTTTAATGGTGATCAATAGAAAAGTTCATCACCATAAAGTTGATGATATATATATATATATATATATATATATATATATATATATATATATATATATATATATATATATATATACATATATATATATATGAAGAAATAACATTTATAAGAGCTACATAATTCCGCTTATTTAACCTTTATATTTTATTATATAAATAGCAATTATCCAAATATTTTTCGGGATTTAAACGATTAAATAAAATTCATTAAAATATTTCGTGGAAAAAATAAAGGTAAAATAAAACACTTTCAAAATGTGACTTGTATGCTATCAGGTCATCACCCTTATGGTGATCAACTTTTGGTTAATAATTGTATTATAGAAAAAATTTCACTAGTGGAACTTTTTATGGTAATCAAGGAAAGGTTGATCACCATAAGATTGATGACAATGCACAATCTCTTTTTTATCTTTATTTTGTACAAAAAATAAAGGTAAACTAAAGGGATCACTTTTAATGTGACTTGTATGCTATCACTTCATCTATTTTATGGTGACCAAAATTTCTTTGATCACTATATAAAGATCTTGGCGTGACAATTTTAAGATGATTACCTTAGTATTTTCACAACTTGTTTGGTTTGTAAAGGTTTGGGACAGGAAATGAAGCTTGAGGCAAAAGACAGGAATTTGGGTCCAAAAGCTTGTTTTGGAAAAGCTAAAACAAGCTAATTTTATGAGCTTTTGTTTATAGGGGTTTGTGGTAGATTAGTAGTTGAGAGAAAATGACTTTTATATCCTAAAATAATTAATCATATTTACTACCCTTACCAAATTTATTAATCATATTTACTACCCTTACCAAATTTGCTTAAGCTAATACTGGTAGTAACTATGCTTATGAAGTTCCTATTAGATCTATTCAAAAAAAAAAAGTTCCTATTAGATACAAAGTAACAGTTATTTATCAATACTTTTACATAAACAATTAATATAAGCAACTAGTCGAAGGACTCATATAATCAGCTAGTCAAATCAACTCACACAAACAGCCAAGAATCGAACTGACTACTCATTGCCAAATCAGGTAATAATATATGTTAACAACATTTAAATAAAATAGTGTGTAACCAATTTACAACTTCGAATTGGAATAGGTGTGTTGATCGAGAAAGGAGATCTAACCTCGAATATCCTAAATTCTACGAAGCATATAATTATTGTACTACTCTCTTCGTTCCATAATTGTTTTCTCTCATACTTATCTTCCCGTATGATGTCTCGATTTAATCATTTGGTCCTCACTTTTTCTAGAAAATTGTGCTCGTGTCGAATATAAAATTCATGGAAAAGTGATTTTTGCTTTTTAAAGTATTGATCTATAAGTTGAATATTTCATCTTCATGGATCTTATTCATAGGAGCTACTTATTAATGGAAAAGATGTTCAAGATTTATATTTATGAAGAAGGGGAGCCACCTTTATTTCATCATGGTCCATGCAAAGGTATATACTCAATGGAAGGCATCTTCATGAATTTGATAGAGAAGAGCAATCAATTTAGGACAAATGATCAAGATGAAGCTCATGTTTATTTTCTTCCCTTTAGTGTGGTTATGATACTTGAACATCTTTTTGATCCAATTGTACGTGACAAGGCTGTTTTAGAGCGCACAATTCTTGATTATGTGGATATCATATCACACAAGTACCCTTTTTGGAATAGGAGTCTTGGAGCCGATCACTTCATGCTTTCTTGCCACGATTGGGTATGATTTCAAACTTCGCACTGTTCTCTCTATCTTTATTTACATGACATACTTTGACTTTTTGCACTTATTCGACTATTTTTATGGTGATATATAGATACAAATGTAAATATCAATTAAGAAAATGAAGCAAATTTAGTCGTAGTCACTATCATTATATTAAATTGGATGGATTACGTTACATGGATGTAACGATTGATGTTGTCTAGGGTTGGATAGATTGGCTCTAGATGATTGAAAACGAGGTAGTGTTACCAATCTTACCATGTCTTTATATATCATAGTATAAATTGTCGGTTGTTAATATTATGATAGACAACCATACATGACATATTTAAAATTATTGTACACATTCATTACATCTACATTTAGGACAGTGCACATATAAATTAAATGTATTAGTCATAAATCAATTAAGTAGACAATCACTTTCCAAGTTAAAGTCAACAAAATTCAGCTTTGTATTAAAATTTGATGTAAAAGAGCTGAAGTACATATGTTTTGCAATCACCATAACTTTGATAATTAAGCAGTGACACAAAATAATCAAGCATGTTTTACTTGCAGGGGCCGCGAGCAACATGGTACCATCCAATATTGTACTTCCATTCGATACGAGCATTATGCAACGCGAACACATCAGAGAATTTCAATCCAAGAAAAGATGCATCAATCCCAGAAATCAATCTAGCAAGTAGTGAATTTGTTGGCCTAAACCGCGGAACACCCCCTTCAAATCGTACCATCCTTGCATTCTTTGCAGGACGGATGCATGGCCATATTAGGCCTGCGCTCCTTACTCACTGGAAGGGCAAAGATGAGGATTTGCAAGTATATGAAGAGCTTCCGAAGGAACTTTCTTATAAGGAAATGATGAAGAGAAGCAAGTTCTGTCTTTGCCCTAGTGGATTCGAAGTTGCTAGCCCTCGAATTGTGGAGGCTATCTATGCTGAATGTGTGCCGGTTTTAATCTCTCAAAGTTATATCCTTCCTTTTAGTGATGTTCTTGATTGGAGCACATTTTCGGTCCATGTTTCAGTTAGTGAAATTCCAAATCTGAAGAAAATATTGATGGATATACCTTATGAAAAGTACTTGCAAATGCTGGAGGGCGTGAGGCAAGTACAACGCCATTTTGTAATGAACGATCCTCCTAAGAGATTCGATGTTTTTCATATGATTATTCACTCGATTTGGCTTCGAAGATTGAATGTACGTATTCATAGTTGATATACTTCAAGTTATACTGATGATTTTTTGCTCATATTTTGCTCCTGTCATATTATCTTGACTTAGTTTTCAAGGTTTGATGTGTTGACAATGCTAAAGCAAGAAAAACTACATAATTCTATCTTGATCAGCTTTGTGGTAAATAAGGCTTTCAAGGTATAGGCACAGGCGAAAATGAAGCTTCAGGTGTCCATACCCATGAAAACCATGTTATAGTATCGAGCATCAAACATTCACACCCCAAGAGGCCAAGAGGGCAAGAGCTACATAATAAAAGCACACCTACATTTGTCGAAGCACCATTCGATTTACCATGTATCATATAGGGCTCGTAGTAACAGGACAAAGACTCAACTGCGCCTCAAGTTCATCTTCTTTTGTGCATATTGATTTCAGAATCAGTTCAGAATAAGCAATCTTTGATCTTTCAGATCATAATTACACATCAAATATGGAATCACATAGTTACTTGAGTATTTAAAACATATTACCAAGAGTATTTCTATAAAGTAAACAGACGCAGGGGGATTAAACATGTAAACGCCAACAGTACGAAACTTTCCAAGAAAGAACTAAAGCCAAGATACATTAATCTAGGACTCTTCTGAAGAAGGCAAAGGCAATGGGAGCACAGGTGAAGATTGTGCTTCTGACTCACCTTGCCAAGTCCAAATAATATCCTTGAGAGCTGGTCTCATCTCCTGCTTCACAACCTTCTGATACTCATATGAATCCCCGCCACGTTTCTTCAGCTCCACCATATGAAAGGTAGGAGTAACCTCATATATTTCAGCATCGAAAGATAACACCCCTTTCCTCCCTTTACATCCTTCAAATCTCATGAGCCCTCCATCTTTCTTCTTCACTGTTAGCTTTGACTTCAGAGCTACTTCCTCCAGCTTTGATACAATTGTTGAAGCAGATTGACAGGAAGAAAATCTAACCTCCTTTTTCTGGCTCCTCTCTTCAAATAAACCAGATAAATCAAACCCCTCTGAGAAGGAGATAATATCGAATGCATTCAGGTTATAACAAGGCTGGGTATCTTCCTGCTTCGGTTCAAGGTTCTCAGAAGGCCCAAAGATAGCATCAACATCTAGCGCATCAGGCTTCATATCATTAACTACAGGCCTAACTTCTAAGAGTTTAGAATCAAACCCTTTTCGGAACCAAGAACTCTCCATAATCTTTGCTGTTGAAATCCGTGTCTTGGGGTTTGGATCCAAGATCTTGATGAGCAATCGTCGTGCATCTGAGGGAATCCAATTAGGGGATTTAAACTCTGCCTTTCCAATCTTTCGATACATTTCCATCAAATTAGAATCTTGGAACGGGAGATATCCTGCCAACAGAACAAACAAGATTACTCCACATGACCAAATATCAGCTTTTGCTCCGTCATAGCCTCTCCTGAGAATAACATCCGGAGCAACATAGGCAGGGGTCCCACAGGTGGTGTGAAGCAAACCGTCTTGCTTTCTGGTATCAGCGATAGCACTCAGCCCAAAATCTGTAATCTTAAGATTTTCATTTTCATCTAACAGAAGGTTTTCTGGCTTCAAATCTCGATGGTAAACACCCCTACTATGACAGTAATCAACAGCTGATATTAATTGTTGGAAATACTTCCGTGCAATATCCACCTTCAGCTTGCCTTTAGCAACCTTGTTGAACAGCTCGCCTCCTCTGACGTATTCCATGACAAAATAGATCTTGGTTTTGGTGGCCATAACTTCATACAGCTGCACCACATTTGGGTGCTTCACAAGTCCCATAACCGAAATTTCCCGCTTAATTTGCTCAATCATTCCGCCCTTCAAAACCTTCTCCTTGTCAACTACTTTTATCGCAACACTTGCACCAGTTTTGATGTTTCTCGCATAGTACACCTTTGCAAATGTTCCTTGTCCAAGAAGCTTTCCCAGCTCATACTTCTGCAACAAGATGGTGACTTTGTTTTGCTCCATCTCTAAAGTAATGATTGATTATTTATTCACAGCAGTATCTAATATTCTTACTCTATAGTAATGCAATACCAAAAATCAGTCAGCCATCTTCGCAGAGCTCATATGTAGAAACAAGGTAGTCTTCGACATTCTTGGCAACAGTGGGGAAGTAAAGCTTAAAACATAAAGAACAGCAATCAATGTGCTTATTCTTATTGATAGCTGATAATGGTAGCTCAAACAGAGCTCTAAACAAGGTGGGATTAGATCGAGAATACTTAGAAGTCAAGCACATCTTGCAGCATTCCCTATGTATTTTGGAAAAACTGGGATTCCAAAAGTTGACAAAAGATTAGCTAAAAAGATGGATGTTGTGGACAAAGACCGGGATTTCAGTGCTACTACATGAAACAGTTGCTTCAATTGAAATACGGATTAGTTCACCTGCAAAGCAAATTTAGAAGGTTCTGTCAGCTCAGTGTTAATTGACTTACTTCAGAATATCAAGCACAATCAACAGTAGATATCTACTTAATTCAATCGAAACTCTTATGACATTGGCAATCTAAATAAACAGAAAAAAAGAAAATAATAAAGAGTGCTGCATATCAACAACTTTAATCCAACGTGCATGTTTTCCTACATTAAATACTCATATTATTTGATACGTTTCCAACAAATCAACAAGTATAGTACATCAGTACACAAACAAGCAATTGAATACAAACAAGCATCATCATTTTCAGAAATAAATCTATAGTAGACAGTTAAGTAATGATATCAAACATATCCTTAAGGAGTAAAGGTTCATTACAAGTATGAGAAATTGTGAGCAGAATTACAACAAAAATAAACAGGATTTATGCATCACAGTATAAGCGCTGATGTGGTGTTACCCTACATACCTAAACAACAAAATATAATTTTGTTTACTCTCTAAATAAGTATCACAGTTGACATGTTGCCAAGGTAACACTAGAATTTTTTTAATAATCCAACTTGATTAAACAAGAAAGGGATAATATATTCACAAACTTCAGGTTAGTTAGCCATACAACCATACCGTCACTCAAAAATAGTGTTATCTATGACCTGAACAGCAGATGTAAATGAAATAAAAATCTACAAAAGAAACTGTCACTAAATAGCAGGTTGTGTTCTTGAAACAAAAACATATACTTCACAAGTATATTAGTTTGTCTTAGATGGAAAAAACAAGGGAGGGCTCACTTTAATTTACACCTAATAGATTATACCTCCTCCTCTCGGCTTTTCTTTGTGACCACACTTAAAATCTAGGAAATTCTATACAGGCATCGAGATAGATAGTAATGGCTGAAACATTTATGAGGCTAACATCTATAAAAGTAATAACTCTTTGTTACTAAAATAAAACAATCCAACAGCACTTACAGAAAACTTATTATATACGGAGTACAAATATTGCCAACGACGTCATTTCTCAAACAAAATACTATTAACTATTTATAATCGATTGTAAAGTCATAAAAAAGTTTAGTGTGTGAATAAGCATGAAGCATGTATATCTCACTACATTGCTACACAAGACGCTACAACCAATATCAATGGGAATAGTATTGTTTTAATAATTTTGGTTTACAGATATTTTAATCGAATGTACTGTCTTATAAAATGAGTACAGAGTATTGTATATCCCACAAAATTTATTTGTTAAAAAAAAAATATCCTAAAATGAGAGAACCTCAAAAATCAACAAAGCATATGCATCTACCCATGCTCCTATGTGGTCCAAATTGTGTGGTGGCCTACTAAAGATTGAAACTCAAACCAAACATAACAAAAAATGGTCTAAATATTATCTCAAACACCTATTTTATTAATATGTTCTTCCAATCAAACAAGTTGCCATCATCCAAAAATCACCTAGTCAAAAAGCATATCAAATGAAACAGAAGATGACTAGACTTGGCTTCATTTTAATTTTAAGACATTAAAAATCATAATCAATCATTATTCAAGACCAAATTTGAAAGTAGGAAGACATATCTACTAACATGATGTGTCAATTGGACAGGTAATTAGTTATTTCTTGTTTGTTTGGGCAGGTTTAAGGCATCTTCATGTGATAGACAACAAATCAAAGTCTTAAATCATCTTATTCGAGCTAATTATCGTGGTTGGCCCATCATTGAGACACAAGGAAGCAATCCGGGCAGACGGGGCAATGCCACATTTGCTTTGGTTCCAATTAAGGCCAAAGATTAACATGAATTTATTAATCTACCTTACACCCTATCATATACTCGTAAAAAAGTTCACATGCTCACGTGCAGAGCATGTGAGCTAAAAAATGTGAGAGTATATAATTTTACATCCGGGTGTATAATGGACATCCCCGACAAATATGGGGTTGGGTCTAGTAAAAAACCGAATTAGGGTTTCGGGTTTTGTTAGCAATTCAGTAAATGGGTCGGATCTCAATTACAATTATTGAAAATCGACAGTGGAAATTGGAGCAGTCATAGGGCTCATATCACAGCATAATCACTCTTAAAATCAAGCAAATTCAACAACTTTAATGACATACATTAACAAAATTTAACTTATTTGTATAAATTCAATAGATTTTCTTCTATGTGTATAATTTTAATACTAGTAGAATTCTAAATTATTCAAGGGAATTAATTTGTGAATAATCACATAAATTACACTCAATTATTGGGTCTCAAACCTATCAGAAATACAATGAACATTGAAAAATAAACCCAGAAATTCAAAGAAACAATGAACAACAAGGCAAAGTTACAGTCTTTTTGATCGATATAACATAGAATCACAAATTAAATCAAAAACCCAGAAATTATGTGATGATAAATTGATATATACACTAAAATGAAGCAAATTTTATCAGGAATTCAGAGGAATGCATTACCTCATCGAAATCAGTTGAAGGAGTAAGAAAGGTAGGATCTTTAATTGTGGAGGAAAAACCCAAAGCAAAAAAAATGAAAAAAAAGGGTTTTTGAATTGGAAAAATGTGTTGCTCCAATGCCTTTGGAATTTATAAGACTACCCACATACACTTTTCTTTCTCTCACTTGTTTCTCTCTCTTGTTGTGTAGTTTGGTGACGCATACAAACTAATCAATCAGTTACTACTTACCCTTCTTCCTTTGTGGTGTGGTAGGCCATTTAAGTTAAGTCCATTTGTGTATCATTATAAAATTATGGTGTATGGTTTGGAATGTTGGATAAGTAAGGTGAATGACCTTAGATCATATGTATCGCAATACGGAATTTTCATTCATCTGTCGCGGGCCTGACTTTACATGAGTGATTAAGTAAGAGTAATGATAAGAATATCTACTCTTTTACAAATCTAAATAACAAGTCTGTTGCTGAGTTTATTTTTATAGGATTGACATGTGGAACAAATTTTATCGGGAGATTGTTATTTGTATACTAAATGATTAACCTTAAACTTCTTTCTAATTCGAGATATATAAAAGAGATGTTTTTAATAAGGAAAACAATAATTTATATTATATAATAATACATAGTGGAAGATAATACGTTACTTCAAACTTTATGAACCGATTAATCGATTATCAAT